ACCATTAATACATCAAATACACAGTAGCAGGTCTGCAGGTCAGATTCCTCCACCATTCTTTTTATATCAAATTTGTTTCCTTTTTGCATGAACGTTTGAGTCTCAGGATTGTAAGCCATCATTTCACCATCAAGAATGCAATTTTGCACGCTGCTTTTAAATACTTTATGAATAAATGGAGTTAATGAACCTTCAAGGGGTGAAGCACCAAACTGCTGAGTGTAGTCAAACCCATTTCGGGAAAAATATTTGTATACATCTCCATCTTTGTGCATCTGCATACGCTCACCATCCAGTTTAGTTTCTATGTAGAATTTCTGATTATTCATTTGTTTCTCAATTTGCTGGACATCAGCGATAGCAGCAAGCATTGGTTTAAAGGCAGAAAATAACATGATGGAGACATCACTAAGTGAGACAGTTGGATCATGCAGTTCTCTGCAGACTTTTTCCAAATCGGTTGTGACATTGTGTAATTCAGCAGCATCAGGATGAAAAATGGAAAATATGGTTTGTTGACTAACACCAAGTTTCAGATCCTTTATAATCATCCGGATAAGCCATTTTTGTTCCAGTGCTGAGCTCTGAGTAATTAACTGAAGGAGACTTTTCTTTAATAGACCCTTGTTTTTGGCAGCATTATTATTAGCTATTGCATCTAAGAGTTCATTGACCTGCTCTATTGTCAGTCTACCTTGTTTTGGGCACCTAGGTTTTAAGACAAAGTAAGCAATCATTGCAAAATCTCCAGCGTCTCCACGTGAGCCAGCAGGTGTTCTGTAATTTAAAAGCTTTGCAGCATCTTTTCCATCTTTGGGCAAATTAAGCAATTCAATATAGAGCTTTGCAAGCATGGTTTCTTTAATCCCATAAGCCATCCTTTCTCTTTCCAACTGCGGAAGAATAAGTCGCATTGCTGGGTAAAAAGAATCAGTGACATCTTTCTCCTTTTGATGAAGAGCATCGTGGAATCTCCTCCAGGAATCCAGGAAATCCTTGAAATACTTGGTCTTCTCCGGCCGAGATTTACACGTCTGCATTCGCTCCAGAGTACAGCACAGATCCGCAAATGGCACCTGAGAGGCTACAGTTTTCTTAGCAGAAGGCTGTGAAGCAGGTGTAGAAGCCATCAGGGTTCACTTTGCACTACGAACAATGAGATACACGTGGATTTTTGAAGAGGAACAAAAGGGCGGCACGTTATCCTACCTCGAGAACCCCCTCGCTAGTTTCCTGGAGTTAGTCGTTTCTGAGGGGTCCCCAGTGGACAGTTTTGCACTTGGCTGATGGTGACAGAAATGGACACCCAGGTAAGACCCCCCGCGGCAGCCGCAGGGAGCGCTAGACGCGGGGGGCTGGAGCGGGCCCGCGCCGRCCTGGACCCCCCTGCCCTGTGGGGCCGGGCCGGGCGCCCCCGTGCTCCCGGTGCGGCCGTTGCTCCCTCGGCCCTAGCGCCCCCGCGACCGTTACGGCGTTGCCACGGAGACGCGGCGGGGGGCACGCGCTCACGGGCGCTCCCTCCCCTCGGCGGGAGGACGGAACGACCGGGCGCGGGTGGGGGTACGGAGGGGGAAACGACCACCGTGAGACGAGACTCACCCGCGCGAGCGGTGCCGGCAGAGGCTGCGCTCACGGCGGCCACGGCGGCCGCCGCGGCCGGGCTCCTCCGCCCTCCCCCGCTGCTCCCTGGGCCGGGAGGAGCCACGCGGTGACGCCGCCGCCCGCGCTCCTCCCCCGCACCGCAGTGGATCCGTCCGTGAGGGGGGGKGAGTGGGGGCAGAACGGCGGCTACGGGCGCCGCGCGCCTGCGCAGTGGCTGCCCGTGCAGGAGGCGGGTGGCGACTGCTCCCGCGGGCGCGGGGCCGCTTGTAGCGGGGTGGGGAGGGGCTCGGGGTGGTAGTGCCCGCAGTGCACCCCCCCGCCTCACTGCGGTGTGGTCCGGCCGCGAGGGAGCGCGCGCCGCCTCCTCACCCCGGACGCGGAAGCGGCGGTGACGTCGGGCCGGGGCACGGGGGCGGAGCCGGAGCCGCGGCGGTTGGAGCCGCGGGCCGGGAGCGGCCGGGGTCGAGGCGGCGCCTCCGGGAGCAGCGGCGACCGCGCGGGACCATGAGGCGGGTGAGGCGGGCGGGGCGGGCGGCAGGGAGCGGGGCCGGCCGGGGCGGCGGCAGCTGGCGCGAGTGGCCCCCGGAGCCGCTCGCCTTGGTCTCCGCTGCGCGGGGAGCCGCTCTGGGACACGGGCCGTGGCCTCCTGTATGCTCAACTGCCTCCAGTAATAGTGGGGTTACAAACGGCCGGAGGAGGAGCGCTGCTCTTAGGTGTCGGTGGGAATAACTCCGGGCGTTTGAGAAGTGGCGGCTTGTAGGGGACCGTTTTGTCCAGAAGGTGAAACCTCGGCTGTGGCCGTTGTCCCGTTGCCTTTGGGTTTTTGTTTGTTTTTGTTTTCAGTGCTGTCATAACTTGTGGGGTGCTGGTAGAGTTCTCTGGGGCTTGTCAGCAATGGAAGGGAAAGTGTAGTGGGAGATTAAAAAAAAAAAAAAAAAGCAGAAAAAACTTGTGAACCTGCACCACTGATGCAGATCAGAATAAGTAAGAAAGGAATGTTTTCTGCTTTCCAAAAATATTGAACCCTCATGCCTGGGAATTTTTTGATCTAGTTCTTTTTTTCCCTTAGGAGCAGCCACTCTGCTGTTTTATGTGAGTTTTCTTGAAATATTTTAGTACTGCAGAAGTGTAGGTTTCTTGTCCTCTCTAAACCTGTAGGCTCTTTAGGTATTTGAACAAAGTTTGGTTTGTTTTCATTTTGAATCCCTAATGAAATGCCGCTTTGCAGTGGCAGAATATAAAGGCTAACTTTTGTAGAACTCTGTGCAAAGAGAGCAGCCATTAAATGTCTGAATATTCTTCTTAGCGCTGTCTTTACAGCTACTAACATTATGTCTAAAAGTTATCTTTGAGTAGCCTGTGTCAGTCTCCCATAACTGGACTGTTGGAGACTACATATGCACTGTGTGGTATAATCATAGAGCACCCTTCAGCATCGATCTCGCAACTTAGAATTTAACTGTAAGATGATGTTTTCAAGTTTACCTGACTGTTTGTCCAAGAGTTGAGCTTGACAGGAAGAGCATCAGAGCAAGGTGACACGTGTGGCTTCATAAGCAAAGCAGCTGTGTAGCTTCTCGGTTCACTGGCTGTTAGCAGTTCTTAATTTTCTTTCAAGTTACTGCTTACCTTCACTTATTATGTGTCTAACGTTAAAAAGCAGTTTTACTCAAAGTTCCCAAATGCAATTTTCTTTCAGGCAGAGATGAAGCATGAGAAGTCATCACCTCCAAAGGTAAATGCCTTATAAYGTGGTTAGTATGTGAAAATAGCAGTTTTTGTGCTAAAAGAATAGATGAAACCTGGAAATACATACCTAAGTAGTGGCAAATATAAAAGTAATTCTGATTTCCATTCAAAATAAGTAAAAACTGCTCACAGGAACCCTTTAGTCTTGTTTTCAGTTAGATTTTTAAAATCCTCAGTTGTGGATGATCTTAGCTATTTAAGAATAAAGCACAGCAGATAAATCTTAAAAATCAAGACATTTTCGTATTATAATTGCTCTCAGGATTTGTGTTGTTATGATTGACTTACACAATCAGTGTTATTTAGAAGTGGGATCTGTAGCACGTCTGTGTCATTTGTCTGTGTCAGTAATTCATGACTTCTGGATTCAGAATGGGTAGATAAATAGAAATGGATGTATTCATCCCAGTAGGGTAAAAAGGTGACTAAGTTTTGATTGAGACGCATCACAGTCAGATTTTTACCTATTTTTTTTTTCTCCATCCTGAGAGGCAACTTGGGGCTGCTCTGTAGCTGTGTAAACTAAAGGGGTCTCTAATGGGCTTTAAAGCAAATGGATTTGTCTTATCAGAGTAGCACTGTGGTTAAGTCTTCCTTTCAATTAAGTCTTAACAGGATATGGGTGGCATAATGTTGACATGTGTCACATAGTGTGTTTTTTTTGTTTTGTTTTATATGCCAATGGATATCTTGGATATCTTGATTTTGGAACCTGGTCTCAATATGCTTTTTTTTTTTTTTTTTTTTTTTCTCCTCCCTCTCTCTCTTGCTTACCTCTTAAGTTTTGGAAGATACTTTAAAAACTTACCTTGAGAGAACCACCAGCATTCACAAAAGCCAGCTTTTGTGATGCAATTCTGAAAAGCCTTTCAAGATTTTTTTTTTCTTCCCCCTTCTCTCATCTACGTGAGAAAGACTGGCTGCTCAAGACTTCATAGTACCTTTCAGGAGGGAAAGAAGGAAATGTGAAGCAGATTCCAGAGGAAAGGGATCTGATGATTTTTGCACCCAAGAAAACATGATCTGAAAGCAAAGAACATGACCTGAGAGCAAAGACAGAGGAATTGGTTCCGTATAGTCTAAGAAAACTGAAAATAAATTGCAAGTTTGAAAACAGATAAATGTTGTATTGGAAATACTAAGGTTAAGYTTCTTAGTCTTGGATTTTCTATCAGTTGTCTAGGAAAATATCTGGCAGACGAGACTATGTCATTCTGTTGTTGATGGTTCCATGCTTATCTCCCCTACTGACTTCCATGACAGCAAGTTTAAAAACAGACAAGCAACCTTAAGCTTGTCATGATAGCCTCTATTTTGGTCAGTTTAATCAAATACCAGTTTAAATAGTTTACATTTATCAAATACTGTGTATTCTGTAAAATGGGGAATAGCATTTTCACATAGGAAGACCTTATCATAGCAGAAATTAGGGCAATTACTTGAAATATAGTGCAACAGGCTTTAAGTAAGAAACCTTTCCAAGTAGTTGATGTTTTATCTGGGAGATCTGAAGAGGAGGTCTGGAGAAACCTAATCCAATAGGAGAACTGTAGCAGGTGCTCTCCATAAGGCATTAAAAACTGTGTTGAATTAAAGCAGGTACTGAAAAACTACCTGAAATATCATCTATATAAACTCTTAGGTTGGTAATATTTAGTATATTTCGGGCAATATGTATAGCATTCTCACCAGCCCAACAGTAAGGAGAAGTGCAACCAGAAATAAAAGGTTTTCTTTTTGTCTTACAGTATGCTGAGCACTCATGAACTTCAAGAAGTGTTGAGGTTCTAAAAAATACCTTATAACTCAGCGAGTTGCCAACCTAACTTGCTCAAGTTTTTAAAGTATCTTCCAAAACTTAAGAGGTAAGCAAGAGAGAGAGGGAGGAGAAAAAAAAAAAAAAAAAGCATATTGAGACCAGGTGGCGAGTTGCCACTTGCTCAAGTTAGGTTTTTTTCTTACGGCAAAGTCTGGTTCTGCTTGTATCATCTTCTACTCTGCAGGTCAAATCAGGTACTTTTGCAAGGCCTCAAACGTTTTTGAACTGCACAGAAATCACAGTGTGCAGCATTCTTGGAAGTGAGTTTGCGTTGCSTTAGTTTAAAGTCTTTCAGGCCTCTGTGCCTGTACGATGAAACATCATTTTCTATGCTTATGGTCTTTCAAATAGTATTGGAAGGAGGCAGGAACCTAGGAGAAACTTGTATCTTGGCTCTCCAGCTAGCAAAGCTTTCAGGAAAATCTGAATTAACAGTTATCACCTGATTCAAGCCTGGTAAGGGAGTTAGCAGAGTTCCACACAGCTGTGTAAAGCACTTCAGTAGTCATGTAGCTGGTCATTAGYGTGAGGTAGTCAGGCTTGTCTAACTGAAAAGATTGTGTTTGTATAGTTTATTCTCCATGCCACTTACCATATTGAACACACAAACTACAGGTTTGTTTGTGCTTTCTCCCAAAAKCTGCCTTTTAATGTTATTGGGAGGGGTTTCTTTTTAATAGCAAAAAGTTGAATTTGCTCTACAGATGCCCTAATTTTACTTTCCATTGCTTCACTACCTGCATACTGAAAGAAGCACTGCCACTAAGCAAAAGCTGGCCATGCTGAGCTCTAGTTTTAGGATCAGGATGCTTTGTTTTTGTAACTTTACTTAGTTTTAACAACAACATTCATTGGCTTTGCAGCTCTGATAGCAAAAGACTTGTATATGTAAAATATCAGTAATCAAATTTACAGCAGTAGTATCACAGACTAGCATAGCACTTCGGTAGTTTTAAATATCTTACTGAAATTAGGGAGCTGTGGAAAAGTGAAACTTCCATGGCTTATAAAATCAGTTGTGGAGTATCAGCCTACAAATAACAGTCCTTGGTGTTTATGTGGTAGGCATTCAAAAAAAATAAAATCATCTTAAGAATTTGCCACTTTTGTTTTTTAAAAATGATTCTTAGGAGTATGTTCCTCTGTAGTGAATGTCTTATCGCACWAGTATTTTGGCAACTTTCATTTTGTAAGAAATTCGGTAAAATTTCATGTCACAGATAAGGAGAATGTTTTTACTGTATCGTTATCAGTTTTGCTGTTCCTTTTACAGCCTTTAGATTCAATGCAGGAATTGTCAATTTCATTAAGAATTTCTTCTACAAATCAAGTAYTTGATCTTTGCGACTTGCTAGGGAAATGGAGCACAATAATTACATTTCCATATAGACAATACCTTTTCAACTTACATATGCATTTTGAATGTGAACTTGTAAATAAAGAATATGAGAAAACAGAGTGAGGATAACTCCAATCTAGACTGCTTCATATTCTACCAGAATTTTTGTATTGGGAATAGATGCACTGTACAAAAGCTTAATTTCACTTGGCATTTGATTAATGCTAAATCTGAATACTAATAATACTGAATGTAAAGGTGTGGCTGACATACTTTTTGCTGACCTATATATTAGTCTGTCTGAAGTCTTTCGCAGAGCTGGCAGTGTTTCTTTGTCGTATTTGGAGAGGGAAGAGGCTGTGAATAGAGACACTGGATCGCTCAGTTGTGCCAAAGTGACTGGTGTAGTTGCAGCCTCCCCTGGTAGTGTTATTCCATATACCCACTCAAACCCTRCAGTGTTATTTGGTTGGAGCTGTGTGACTCATAGCAAACACCCAAACCAAACCACACAGCACTTGAACATGTTGAGACATGTCAGGCTCCTTTGGAGTTAATTTAGCATCCTGCTGCACTGCATCTTTCCAAGGAGGCTGCACCAAAGGCTGAGGGAGCTGGGCCTCTTCAGCCTGGAGAAGAGAAGGCTGAGGGGGAACCTGATYAGTGTSTATAAATACCTCAAGGGAGGCAGTGAGGAGGAGGGGGCGGCCTCTTTTCAGTGGTGGCCAGCGATAGGACTAGAGGAAAYGGCCACAAGCTGAGGCACCAAAAGTTCCCCAGGAACTTAAGGAAACACTTTTTGACAGTGAGGGTGACAGAGCCCTGGAACAGGCTGCCCAGAGAGGTTGTGGAGTCTGCTTCTTTGGAGATCTTYMAAACCTGCTTGGATGCAGCCCTGTGCCACGTGCTCTAGGTGACCCTGCTTGAGCAGGGGGGTTGGACTAGACCTCTGAGGTCCCTTCCAACCTTAAGCATTCTATGATTCTATGATCTCAGACTGTGTCTGAACTGTAATTATTGTCTGCAATGTGACCTTGGAGACAGCTGGAGCGCTTCTGTACTGATCAACCTGGGTTTTGCCTCTGGCAACTTGCTTTTTCAGCTCTGCACCAACTCYGAGTTACTGTAATTCTCATGTAGGTTTGGCAGTTCTTGCTGGTCTCTGTACTGCCCTATTTCCAGCAGTAAATAAGTGTGGGAGATTGTGTGTGCTGGGAGCCTTGTATATCTGTTAGGGCTGAAAAGATGTAGTCAATTACTGTTGACTGTCACTACGCTCGTCTTATGCTATGTACATCTGTTTTTTCGGGTCAGGAGTCTGTTTTCATATTTGAACATTTCAGTAGTTCATTTTATTGATCAGAGGATAATGTAATTGGCTGACTGTCCAATGCTCTCTTCTAATAACAAGATCATACAGCAAAAGGTAATACGGTTTGATTAAAACTGATAAAAAGCTATCAAATCAGAATGAARACACATGTAACAATTATAAAGTGCAATGCATATTACTATGGTGGTTGCATTTCTTTCACTGTTTTGTTTGACGTTATCATCTTAGTTGATCAAGATACTGAAAAATACAGTTACTACGTGGTAGCTGACCCTGTGTGTCTTGCTGGCCTAGCCTGGTTGCAAGAGGATGTGCATCCTTAGTATCCGTTAGAGTTGTGACAAGTTGATGGTATCGTGGTCTCTATGGTTGCTCTGCTGGTCGGCACGGATGTCTTCATGCAGAAGTTCTGGTGCCAGTCAACGGATATAAAGTGCTACTGATGTGTATTAAATATTGAAACAATGTTAATGAGACTGAGGAGTTCTAAAGCCTTTTTCTTAAGATTGTTTTATATGCGTTTTATAGAATAAATCATTGATTTTTTTTTTCTTTCTAGAAGTCTGAATGCCTAAATCTTTTCTTTTTTTCCTTTTTTTTTTCCCCTCTATTTATACATATATGTTTGGGTTTTTCTACAGGATTTACTTGGAGTAAAAGATCACTGACTACTACAATGGAAAAGTCATGGATGCTTTGGACCTTTGTTGAAAGATGGCTACTAGCTTTGGCTTCCTGGTCTTGGGGTCTCTGCCGTATTTCTCTTTTACCATTGATAGTAACTTTTCACTTGTACGGAGGCATTATGCTACTTATATTAATATTTGTATCAATAGCGGGTATATTATATAAATTCCAGGATGTACTGCTCTACTTTCCTGAACAGCCGTCTTCATCACGCCTTTATGTTCCTATGCCCACTGGTATACCACATGAGAACATCTTCATCAGAACCAAAGATGGAGTTCTTCTTAATCTTATTCTGCTGAGATACACAGGGGACAATGCAGCATACTCGCCAACCATCATTTACTTTCATGGGAATGCAGGCAACATTGGCCACAGGTTGCCAAATGCTTTGTTAATGCTGGTAAACCTGAAGGTAAACTTACTCCTTGTTGATTATAGAGGGTATGGAAAAAGTGAAGGAGAAGCAAGCGAAGAAGGTTTGTACTTAGATTCGGAGGCTGTCTTAGACTATGTCATGACTAGGTCTGATCTGGATAAAACAAAAATCTTTCTCTTTGGCCGTTCCTTGGGGGGAGCAGTAGCTGTTCACTTAGCTTCGGAAAATTCCCATAGGATTTCTGCCATCATGGTGGAGAACACCTTCCTTAGCATCCCGCATATGGCCAGCACTTTGTTCKCTTTCTTTCCAATGAGATACCTTCCTCTGTGGTGCTACAAAAATAAGTTTCTGTCCTACAGAAAAATCTCTCAGTGCAGAATGCCTTCGCTCTTCATCTCTGGGCTGTCTGACCAGTTAATTCCACCAGTTATGATGAAGCAACTTTATGAATTATCCCCAGCTCGGACTAAGAGATTGGCAATTTTTCCTGATGGGACTCATAATGACACGTGGCAGTGCCAAGGGTACTTCACTGCACTTGAACAGTTCATCAAAGAAGTAATAAAGAGCCACTCCCCTGAAGAAATGGCAAAAACATCATCTAATGTAACAATAATATAACTGATACACTTTTTCTTTTTTTTTTCCATGGGGGGAGGGAAATACATGCACTGTACATTGATTTGTGAAAAGTGGTAAAAGAATGTCCATTTTTACATGTATATCATGTCTGTACTTGCCTAAAGAATGAAATTAAAATYGGAAAGGTCTAATGCTTTACCAAGATGTTCCACACAACTTTTACATTTGCAGCATTGTAAATGAACCATTCTATATGTCTTTCGCATACTTTTTTGATATCTTTGTCCATATCTTCCATTTGTTTGATATGTACAATGGATGCTATTAAAGAAAAAAAAAAAGAAAAAAAATTGTTACAACAGTAGTACAGAATGCATTAGTTAGAGCAACGCCAGGCTCTTCAGTATTCATTGCTGCTATGTGCAAGCTTTCCAGACAATCACGGCTGGCACAGGGTTTTCTTGTTTTTCTTAGAATTTCTTTCAAGTCTGCCATGCATGAGGTACTGTCTTATTTCTTTACATTTAATATGCAAAGATTGGGAGGCTTTAATGTGCTAAGCAATATGAAATAACATTAACAGTAGTGTACTTATAGGCATACCATCCTTGGTTTGTTACTATTATATAGTTATGTATTTAAGTATATGCTTATATATGTGTTTACATACATATACATATAGGAAGCAAATTGCAAGTGAAAAGGAAAAGCTATTTTCCCTGTTTTCATTTATGTGTCTATGCAGAGCAAGTGCTGCGTGTTCCCAGGCATTTTTCATCAAAAAGTAGCCTTCAAAGGGAGATGTGCAGGCTCACTTTCAGAGCTGTTTTTTGCTCAAGCTCTCCTTTGTTGACTTCTTGGCAGCCCTTCTGTTGGTAGCAGTCTGCTCGTGCATTAGAGGTAGGATTTCCAAGGCAAAGAGGGCAACGAGAGTGGGCAAAGCAGTACAAGGGAGTATGGTATAAGGTAAAGACGTATATATTTGAAATGTTTTTKTTAAGTTTATACCTTTAAGGATTTGTGCCCTTTATTTATCCTCCAGAAGAAGAAAATCCAAATAATTATAAATGATCACATGATTTTATGTGTACAGTTGCTATCGAGAGGACAATAAAAATGAGCAGTGCATAAATTAGCAGACCTAAGTTAGGTTGKGTAAACCAGACAATTTTWAAAAATATTTTAAAATATCTTTTACAGTGCTGTTGCATATTCTGAAAATGGCTTAAGCATTAATGGAAGTGTTAGTTTTCTTTAGCTGTACTGAGAATTTGAAGCTGACATTGCACCATTTTATTACTACCAATATTTAATTTATAAGAACTTGATTCTGACTAAATGTTGTCTTGTTTTTCAGATTTTAAGGATTCTTTTCCTAAGATATCGTAACAGCATTATGTGTTATTAGCTCTGTTTGTGCTGGACTGTGTGGCTGTATAAATCTCCAGCAGACCTAGTTGCTCATTTCCTGCAGTTGATAGTTTACCTATGCAAAATAGATTTTTATGGGAAGAAACATAAATGTAAAAAAAACTTCCTTCAAGTCACTACAAATTCTTCAAATTGATTTATTTGAAAAAAAAAAAAAATCTACTACAGTTTCCTGTTGTAGAAAAGTATCTTGGCATATATTAATCAGTTTCCCAATGGACAGAAGTATTTTAAGCACGTACTTAACTTCTATCACTGACTAAAATCACTCTTTTGAACTGGTGCTTTAATGATTATGCCTCCAGGTACTRTATGGAATTACAGGTGTCATGGACCTATTGGGTAGTAGTTGTCAGCAAACAGTAGCTAGGGAGGTGCATCTTTATTAGGAGAAAAAGAAAAGCTTAAATGCAGCCATCCTTTCTCAGAACAAAGAGACAAAATACTTTACATGTTGCTGATTTCTAAGGTAAGTATCCTGTGTCATACCACTGTTAAAGGTAGTTTAGAGTTGACTTGAAAAAGCTATAGGCCTGCATGGATAGCTAAAATCTTGAACATAGTATGGTTTTGAAAGTTTATGTCAAACTAGAGCTATCTCCACAGCAATCCAGTGGTACCTGGTATGGTATTTGGTTTTCTGTGTATTTTCTTTGGGAACACTTGTTTATGTAACAAAAAGGATGGTTAAACTGCAGCATTTTTTTTTCTGTGGAGTAACACTGAAACCACAGCATGAGGTTCTTTTTATTTGTAATTTTTTTTTCCAGCTGCTTTGCAGTATTTTAGAATTAAGGTAGATGGATAGATGGAGAGAGAGAGTGAAAAAGAGCTGGGCTGCTCTGATACTGCTTTTCTAAAAATAACTTGATAAAGCCAATGGCCTACATTGCTTGTTGAAGACTGAATGCAGATAAAGTAAACAGCTATTTCAGAAGTCAAAACTTATATTAACTATCATGATGTTCCTCATAAAGTGTAAATTTCCAAAGCAACAAAGGGCTGCTTCTCTTTCCCTTCCCCTTGCCTCAGATCAGCCAAAAAGGACCAAAACACCCCTCAAACCACTGCTAGCCCAGAACATGCTGCTATCTTCCTGTTCTGTGTCAGTTGTGAAGCTTTACGGGTGCTTGCATGTGTGAACAAGACCCTCTTATGGGGGGGCCACAGTTGCCAAGGTCGTGTCTAATGTGTGGTATTAGATGATGGCACCCTAGATACAGTGTGCTTTAGGAGTAGTCTTAAACAGTGGTTTGGGTTATCAAGCTCTATCTTCTCACTGTAGTTGCTGCAAGACGTGAAGATGAAACTTTGCAAATAGCAGATATGAAAAGACAACCGTCATACTCAACTTAATGTGGTTTCCTTTGCCTTCTATATACTGACTTTTTTGTTTGTTTTAAAYGGGTTGAACACGTCCTTATGGATGAATGCCTGTCATTCTATCTTTCATTGCTCAGGCCTTGAAATGCCCTGAAAGAAAAGAGAAAGAAAACATTAATAATTATCTTATGTAAATATTCCATTGCTGTAAATATGATCTTTTCCTTTTAAGTGATGGGGAAGGAAGGAGGAGCAAGAAASTTGTTTCTGACCCTTTACAGCTGACGAGTCAAGACGTGGTTTTATTTTACCTTATGTGTATTGGCAACCCATAGTTATCTAGTGCCAAAGCTGTTACCAAACAGTATTTTGCAGGAACCATAGTATTAGTAACTTTAAATTCTTGTTGCACTCATTTCACTTAATGCCGTTTAATGATTTTTCCCATACTGGTTCTCCATTGATGTATAGAAGTTTTCCAGATGTTTCTRTTGATTTCTAGTCTGGTCTGGGAAGGGGAGTTGAGTTTATTTCACAGTTTTGTAAGAAAGTCTCCTTTTGGCTTAAATATGTTCTATGTGGAAACTGCCTTTCTTTTATAAAAGAGGAACTTTTAAGTTTAAAAAAAAAAAAAAGGGAATTGAACTAGCACAGTTGTAGCAATAGAGTCCTTATAAGGAATCATCCAGTGTAAGACATGTCTGGTTTTAATTAGTGGAAATACTTGAGACTTTCTACTAATCCAAGTTTACATTCCCAGTATRTGCTTCTGAACTGTGAAATATAGAGATAAGCTATATTTTTCCGATTTAAAAAAAAATATATGTATAGCTACCCACATGTCCATTTCTCAGGTAACATTAGAAATGCAGCACAAATCCCTCTGATAGCCTGAGATCAGTCTCTCAGTTGAAGGATGATTAGCTATTTATATGAAATATGCATATCAGCATCTCCTAGCTAATCGTTTGTGTCACCTTGGGATGTTCATGGTGGGGAGTGCAAGGCTGAAGTGAAATTCTAAGGTATGGTCTCTTCTCTTAGCAAAAAGATACAGGCATACCTCCATTTGTACTTCATAATTATTGAAAAGTCCATTTTTATTTTTGTAAATGAGAGATGATTTACCCAGCAGCACTTCTGCCAAATATAAAATCAGTGTCTCCTGCATGATGTAGGATCAACCTGGCATTTCCCATTAGGACTAGTATCACCATTGTCCTTGTGTAATTTAGAGTAGAACCCACTGTAGTAGAAGGAGAGAAAGTGTGTTCAAAATCTAAATAATGCTGATGTTTTGAATTCAGAAACAGACACTGAGTAAATAATGCAAGGGTTTTACTTGATTTTTTTTCTTAATGTTTTAAGCAAAGATAGCATATGAAGTATTCTGAACTCGTAAGTTTTGTAGACAAAGYGTAAGTGTTACCGGATGTGTGCCAAGTGTGGTAGAATGTTACATTCTCATTCTAGCCTGGATTTTACAATAAAATTAATTTTAAAAACCCCACTTTTATATTTTTATGTACAATATGCAATAAATTGATACAATAAAAGTGATATTAATGTCTTATTCAAATTTGTGACCTCTCTTCAGTATGAGTGTAGGAATACCTTTGTATGTTAAACGACTGATTTTTAAGATATGATTTTGCAGTTGTAAAACCTGTGTGCATAGAAACATCTGCATTGTTAGATGTGGAGTTGAAATGCTATTACAGTAGGAAAAAAGCTAATTGACAAATATTCATTTCTAAGCTTTATCATGTGTCCTTGCTTTCTGGAAGCATTAAGAGTAAAACTGATATCCAGTAGTCTCTGCTGCTTTCTAATGTTGTTGAGGACTAAGAGGTGATCTGAATATTGTGTCACTTCAATTGAAATTTTATTTTATTTTATTTTATTTTATTTTATTTTATTTTATTTTGACTAGTTTTAGTTTTACTTCGTACTGGTGAAAATATTTTAAATACCACTTTTAATGCTCTAATGGCACTCTAGCCTGTGTGTAGTTAGGTATTTCGTATAGCTGCTGCACTGGGATGCTCAAGCTGAAGCAAATTTCTCTGGATTACAGAGAAATGCGTAACTAAACTTAAATTCTCTTCACAGATACAGCCAGTTGTGTGAAATGCAGATAAGGATCTATCACAGATAAGGATCTATTGCTGCCTTTTCAGAAATTGYGAAGTATGTGACTGTCTTGAGCTGCAGGTCCTCTAGTAATATAACCTAACACCTAAGAAATGTAGTGCTCAGAGGAAGCCTCTGGTATTTCTGAAACAGTGAAAGTAAAGGAGCAACTTGGATGTGGGTAGTTAATATTTATGATACCCTTGAATAAACAGCAAGTTATCTGACTTGGTAGCTGTGTCACTAAATCTTATCTGAGCAATCTATTCCAGCAAATCCAGCAGTTTCCTTTGTTTTTTCTGAAAAGTGATAGGCAGCTGGGCTTCATCATGCATGTTTGTCCTGGAATGCCTTATGAAGTCATGTGTTTTAAGTATTCTGTTACTTTCCTCTTTTTAGCAAATATGTGCAGATCTTTATAGCAAGGTGCACACCATATTGGATTTTTTTTTCAGAATTTGCAATACTGCTTAAAAAAAATACATATATATATATATGAGAGAAATAGATAAWAGACATGGGGATATCAAAACTAAAATGCTATAAAGGAAACCTAAACCAAACACAAGGGGCTTCCTGTGTATGATAASATCAAGTACAGGCAGGTAAAGTTCTGGGAAAGCATTGGCTAAACAAAAATYATTTATTCCAAAGATCTTAAATGTCTATATGGTTTTATTCTCAGTGGGTAAGTCACTTAAAAAGCTTTGCAACCTGAATCTTGCTGTATTTATTAATGGTTAGGTTCTTCCTTCTCTCAGCAACAGCAGAAGAACAATTTAAAAGTTTATGATGTGCTAATTATGTGTTTATTATTGTGCTGCTGGGACTGTCATGTTTGAGTTGGTAGTGATAGTCAGAGGTCATCGGTCATTTACTAGTTTCTAACCTAGACTTACCTAGTTCAAAGCTTTATATCTTGCGGCTTAATTTTAGACCTATTACTGAGATTCCATATCTACCTACACAGATAGAAGATACCTATTTTAAGAAAAAAATACAGATTGTTTTCTGAAAATATACTAGAAAACCTTAATTTGGTTGCTTTAACCTGTTAGGCTTCAGTTTGGATGGAAGCAGGGCCTTTTTTTTTTTTTTTTTTTTTTTTTTTTTTTAATCTCCTGAGAAACAGTAATCTTCCTTTCGGTCACAGATGACGCATCTTAAAGGCAGGCCTGTTTAACACGTGGCAGTGCTTGATTTCACTCACAAGAATTTTGAGTACATCTTTACTGATCTTAAGTAATGAGTTCAGTAGTGTGAAAGTACAAGGATTCAGTGTGTAGCAGCTGCAGCAGTGAGCACTCCCCCAGGAATGGCCATGGTTCCTTGCTTGTTTTGCCACCTGTCTGTGCGTGGTGCTGGAGAGCTGAAGTGCAGGAGCTCRTGCTGCTGGGGAGAACCCAAGCGCAGCGAGCTCCGGCCATCTGAGCATGGAGCACCTTTCTTTTGGTGTTCAAGGCAGTAAGAAGGAATGGCTGTAATATCAACATCATTGCTGTGCCACAAGCTCTAGGTGTCTCTGCTAGAACAGGAAGGTTGGACTAGATGATCTCTAGAGGTCCCTTCCAACCTTAACCATTGTGATTCTCTGATCAGGGTTGGTTTTGTCATTAAGCTTCTGTGATATTTGTATTTTGTGTTTTCTCCCTTATATGTAATTCTTGTTGGTTCTGCTACATACTTTGAGACAAACCTATGATTTTTTTTTCCTTCCTGTGCCATTTCCAATTCTCTTTGACAGCACTGTGATAGCCACATTGTAAAAAATATTTAATGATAGTTGCAAGACTGCTGTATGTTTGTTTTAGGTAAGTGTGCGCATTCCAGGTTTGGATCCAAGCTTGCTGTTCTCAGAGAGCTGTTGCTGAAGACAGCTTTAATAAAATCATAGATACTAGATGCTTTTAGGTAAGTAGCATTATTTGG